CAACAGTGGTGGATGATCGCAGGATTCTCTCTATGGTAAAGAAAGACCCATTCACATCATGCAGACAAGTGAAGGACACTCTCCAGGAGGTGGGCGTATCATTGTCAAAGTCTACAATCGAGAAGACTTCATGAGAGCAAATACAGAGGATTCACCACAAGGTGCAAACCATCCATAAACCAGAAGAATAGAAAAGCCAGATTAGACTTTGCCAAAAAACATCTAAAAAAAGCCAGACCAGTTCTGGAAAAGCATTCTTTGGACGGATGAAACTGGGATTAATCTGTACCAGAATGACGGGAAGAAGAAAGTGTGGCAAAGGCTTGGAACAGCTCATAATCCAAAGCACACAACGTCATCTATAAAACATGGTGGAGGCAGTGTGATGGCATGGGCATGCATGGCTTCCAGTGGCACTGGGTCATTGGTGTTTATTGATGGACGGCGCTTCACAGTACAGATAGACAATGATCCAAAACACACTGCAAAAGCAACCCAGGAGCTTTTGAAGGAAAAGTGAAATATTCTGCAATGGCCGAGTCAATCACCTGATCTCACCCCAATTGAACATGCATTCCACTTGCTGAAGGCAAAACTAAAGGCAGAAAGATCCACAAAGAACACCTGAAGACAGCTGCAGTTACAGCCTGGCAAAGCATCAGGAAAGAGGAAACCCAGTCTTTGGTAATGTCCATGGGTTCCAGACTTCAGGCAGTCATTGCCAGTGAAGGATTCCCAACAAAATATTAAAAATTAACATATTTATGATTATATTCAATTGTCCAATTATTTTTGGTCCCTTGAAAAGGAGGGATGGCTACTCTTAAGAGCTGTAATTACTAAACCCTTCCTCCATTTTGGATGTACATACCCTCAAATTAAACCTGAGAGTGTGCACTTTCAGCCCATATCCATTATGTAACTATAGCTAGAATATGTTTCGGTAAATACCTGAAAAAAACTAAAATTGTGCCGGTGTCCAAATATATATGAACCTAACTGTATATGCATTTTGCGTTTGATGCTTTCTCCAGTGCTTTTTGCAGTTTGTTTTTCATTTTTCTACACGTGTTTTTCATGAATTTTTTAATGCGTTATAGATGCTTTTTTTACCGTGTTTTGTTCAGCTTTTTTTTTTGTTAAAGTGGATTTTTTTTCGTTGCTGGACAGAATAAAAATGCAAAAGGGGGCAAAAACGGGGCAAAAACGCACTACCATGCATTTCAGCAGATTCTCCATTGAACTCTACTGTAGCACAAATGCTGCTTTTTGCTTTTTATAAAGTCCCTGACCCTTTCCAAAAACGCAGTAGCTCAAAAAAGCATAGATGTGAACATGTTCCACAGGAAACCAAGTTAAATGGACTGTAGTGCGTTTCTGCAAAAAGCACTAAAAAATACATTGGTGTGAATGGAACCTTAATCAGCCTTTTTTGGCAGGGGCGTTTTCTGGGAATAAAAACAGAACTAGTGGGTTTCAAGAAGAGTTTTTTAGCTGTAAAAATGTTTTAATGTTGGTAAATGCAGTATAACACGGTAAAATGTGGCAAACCAGCATTTTTGTGCATTTTTTGAGTCAAAATTTTTTTGTGTGTGCAAAAAAAATGCTAACACAAAAATACATGGCTAAACACAGCAAACCACTAATGCAAAAATGCAGAAAAACCTTTTTACTTGCTCTTTTCTGAAAACTCCAGAACTGAAGTTTACCTCTGCTAAGCAGAGGTGGCTGGGGGTTTAATGTTAGCCATAATTAACCTTGCCTGTACTATGCTGGCAGATCTCATTATCAGTTGTAAAAAAGTTTTAACCATGGTCTTTCCTAACAAAGGATTATCTAGAAACTGGCTTTGGACATTGTGTGCTAATGAGGGGAAACTCTTCGTATCCATCTTTGTCAGTGGGGACCGAATGAGTTTCCTATCATGTTCAGAGTAGCTTACAGCCTGCTTGAGGCCAGCTCCAAACAATCATCCAGAAGGGTAAGAATTATTATTTTTTTAATAATTTTTAGGTATGCCATGTAAACAAACATATGTTTTATAAAATTTGACTGCAATTGTGTTATTAGCTTATTAAAAGTCAAATCTGACATGTCCCAGGCAAATCACAGTCCTCACATTCTGCTGAATAGGTATGCTATGGTTGCCAGGGTTCCAAAGTGGGGGGATGTCTGTTAGCCTTTGTGGATATTTGGACAGCTTGCATCTCAGATGCTTGGGTGTAGGAGGCGGTTTCCAGGGGCTGCAAGCTAGAGTTACACTCCCACCCCCTTCTTCGGTTCATCAGCTCCAGCATTCCTGTGTCATCACAAAGATTAGCAGGTCTCCAGGTAGCACTAGCAGGTCTTGTGGACCCCAGGGTATCATTGCGCAGTTCTGTGGCAGAACAATTCACGGTTCCCTCTCCAACTTGTTCACAGTTCCCAAGGCAAAAAGGGAATATTCACCCCATCTTGGATCTCAAAGCCAGAATTTTCTTTCCCCAGAGAAACCTCAAACTTAAGCTCTGAAACTTGTTTTGTTTAATCCAGAGGACTGACTTTTCGCTTTTGCATGAGTCCTGGGTTTAATGGTAAACTCATTCAAGGCAATCCCATTTTTCCAGTTCTACTCCATAAAACTTCAACACAACAAGCTGTTTTTTGACAAGTCAGTCCAATCTCTGGTCAAACCTATTTGTCTGGCACCCAGGACCAGGTTGTCCTTGGTCTAGTGGCTCAAGAATTCAGCTCTGGGGATGATGAGGAAGTCCTTCCATTCTGTATTTTTGAAGATTCTGATCCCAGATCTCAGCTTGTAGTGCTGAGTTGGAGTCCTGGTCATTCTTTCACTGCAGGGGACTTAGACATTGGAGAAATCTCATTGAATGAACAGCTTTCTGGAGCTTCAGGTGATTTACTGTTCCTATAGTGAATTTCCCAGCTGGCAGGTCATCCGATCCAGATTCAGTTAGACAATGCTATATCAGTGGCCTACATTAACCACCTGGGAGGAACTAGTCTTGGCATGGCAAGAGAGGTAGAGAATATTTTGTCTTGGGCAGAACTTCACATTCCAGCCTTATCTGCCGATTACATCCAAGGCATGGGCAGTTGGCAGGCAAGCTTCCTCATTGCAGTGTCTGGACCCACAGGGAGTGACCCCTACACCCGGAGGTGATCCAGGACCTGTGTCATAGGTGGGGGATGCCAGAGGTCGACCTCCTGGATTCCCAGTTCAACAACAAATTTTACAGGTTTGTCTCCAGGTACAGGGATCTTTTAGTGGAGTAGTGGATGCTCTGGTAGCTTCATGGGATCAGTATAATCTGATTTATACCTTTTCTCCCCTAAATTCTCTTTCTTGTCTGTCAGCCGAGATGGGGGGCATTCCAATGAACCTCATAACTCCAGACTGACCCAAACAAGTGTGAATTTCCAACATGAGAATGTCACCAGCACACCGAGGATCACCAATATGGGTCAAAAAGATTTAATGATTGATCACATAGTTACAGCAAGGCAACTTTTCCAGGTCTTGCAGGACCCCTTCATATGCCTGATGAAGGGGTCCTGCAAGACTGAGTTCAGTAACACTTTTGAACCCATATTGGTGATCCTCGGTGTGCTGGTGACATTCTCCCTTACTGATTCTGTTAGTTACCAGCCACTTATACACACAGCCATGTTTAACGCAGGAATGTGTGCGTTTGGATTGTACACTTGCTTTCCAACATGAGAGACTCCTCTTTCACAATTCTCCACTAGCGCCACCCACTTATTATTTTGTTAGTTCCATTGGGTGATTTGTGGATGCATGGAAGCCAAACCCAATGTCTACTGAAATATGGCTATTGAATTCATCTGATTTTACCTGCAAAGTTATGCACAATGTAGCACAGTGCAGGTCACATAAACTTCGGAAGAGAAGCAAAAATTTTTTTAGAGCTGCAAACGTAACTTAAAGCTTAAATTGCACTTCTCTCTAAAAAGAAGCAGTCGTTTTGTGGGTTTATCCAACTTTCAGCCTATCGATTGCTAAGCAATAGCAATGTCAATAGATGGACCACACATGGGGAACAGGGGTGGAGGAGATCTCTCACAATGCAGCAGAATTTGTGTTGTACCTTTTCTGAATATAGTGGAACTGATAACAATGAAAAGGCTACAGTGAAAAAAAATATCTGAAGAGGCTGCAATGGAAAAACAAAGTAAGCGTGACCAGTGACAGACTGATATCTTTGTGCTTTTTTCTGGAATCCAGTCATTTATGGTGATGCCTTTACTGTAATACGCACATCTTTCAGGGTTGTATATCTGGATGCGCTGCTCAATAAAGTATATTTTATTATGTGCAGTCAGCAGAAGTGGCTCATATAAGGAGATTCCTCTATCCGTGTACATTTACTGATACTGTGTCGTGTTATTAGGAGGAGTATGTTCTGAGACCACCCCAGTCTGGTAAATGTCAAATTTCAGCTACAAAATATAGGCATTCGTAAAATTTTCAGAAAGTAAGATTTAATATCAAATGAAAATACAGCGAACAACACAAACTGTATCCTGTTAACACGTATTATCCGTACTCTCCGCTCCTCGCACGACCTCCTGCTCTCTAGCTCCTTGTCTCCTCCTCCCATGCTCGTCTTCAGGACTTCTCCAGAGCTTCCCCCATCCTCTGGAACTCTCTACCTCAATATATAAGACTATCGCCTACTCTGCTCACTTTTAGGCGATCTCTGAAAACCTATCTCTTCAGGGAAGCCTATCCTGCCCTCAGCTAAAAGTAGAATCTTCTACTCTTCCAACTAGTCCATACCCCACAGTTACTACCTTTTGTACCACTAGCCCCTCCCTCATAGATTGTAAGCTCCAAGGAGCAGGGCCCTCCTAACCCTCTTGTATTGAACTGTATTGTTGCTGTATTGTCTCCTGTTATATTGTAAAGCACTGAGCAAACTTCTTGGCGCTATATAAATCCTGTATAATAATAATATTGTACATTGTTTTTTCCCCTATAGGTGACTGTCTAGACAACAGTGTGGCCTCGCCCAGTACGGGGGACGACGATGAGTTAGACAGGGACAAAAAAAGGAACAAGAAACGAGGGATTTTCCCTAAAGTCGCCACAAACATCATGAGAGCGTGGCTCTTCCAGCACCTTTCGGTAAGAAAATCTGATGCTAGGTCAAAACACTAAAAGGCGAAGTAAAACATGTTTTCAGTAAACACATACTTTTTGTTCATTTTGATGTTTGCTCTTCAATATTTGTATTGTTGTTTTTAATATAAAGATTAGCTATTAGGAGAGCTGTGTTTCACTGCAACCAATCTTCTTCCGTGCTTCAAAGCTGTGGAGGTGTCTGCTCCAAAAGGCATGCATTGCGTGAAGGAGCAGTAAAGCACAACCATGGTGTTGCACTGCAGACTAATGTTATCATACAAGATATAGTCGTTGTCATAACAAGCTGTGTTATGTTGTCACCTGACAATGCCTAGACTAGGAAATAAGCCTTCATATATCCACAGCAGACTATAACCCCTGGTTCACATATACATTTTGCGCGGGCACGAGAGCCCATTCATTTGAATGGACTCCTGTGCCTGTGACACACAGAGAAGTCCCTACACTTCTTCTGAAAACGCAGCCCATGCAGGAACCTTGGTTGCCAGTACGGTTGCGTTTTCCAGCGTGGGGCGGCGTGCCATTAGAACTAATGGCATCCGCCTGCGGGTCCGCATTTCTCTGTGCGGGTGGTGCGGCTGCACGGATTTTTGTGCGGATCCGCAGCCGCACCACCCGCAGAGATGTGAAGCCTTAGACTACTATGGGGCCTGGAATCCTAGGGGGCCCGGAGCTGTTTGGCTACTCACTGATTTATTCTGGCAGCAATAACATTTGGCAAAGACTGTGTATTCAGTATAGGAATTTGATACCTTACCAATGCTATGTCAATTTTTGCCTCTTTCTTAGCTTTAAGGAAATCTATCAGAATTGAAATATGGATGCTGAGTTCATTTTTCAAGAAGTTCTTTATAGGGAAGGAAAAAAGGAGCTTCCATTGCTGATTTTGGTGCGATGGGCTTTTGTCCTCTTCGAAATCCAAAATATCTATCGAGCAAAAAAATAGCTCATACAATTGTACCATCAATTGTTTTGTTCTTTTTAATAAAAATGTTGGATCAGTCACTTTTGATTGCGGCATGAAAATCGCGTGCTGCAGCTGAAAATCGCGTGTTGCAGCTGGCACACTAACAATGTGAAAAAAAACAAACAATTCAAAATTTTTGTTCGGGTTTCACACCTATGGCCAGCTTAAGTCTTTCACTGACCAGGCAGAAGCATGTAGCCAGTAAAGTGCTGGGACACCTAACTTGTAGAAACCTGTTTTGGGTCAGTGACCCAACAAATAGTAATAGAATGAAGATGAGGGCTTAGGAACTTGTACTTCTCTAAATAAGTTAGTAATAGTGGCTGTGCTTAAGGCTTATATAGAGAAGCCCATAATATAAAAGATTGGGCTGGCAAACACTATTCAGGTTAGAAGAGCTCAGTCTTACAAATGTGATGTTGCACATCCGAGCTGGACTGTATGGGGACAATTGAATTGGTCTTTATGGTTTTTTTGCTCCCTGCTCTAGTTAATGAGTAAGTATTAGGCTCCGTTCATACCTATGCAGTTTGCTTTTTGTTCATTTTGCACTGCTTTTCGCAGTTCATTTTGTACGTGTATTTAATGTGTTTTTGACGTGTTTTGTTCAGCTTTTTTTTTAAAGTGGAATTTTTCTTTTGCAGGGCAGAATAAAAATACAAAATGCGGAAAAAATTTACAAAAATTCAGCAGCTCAAAAAAGCATAGATGTGAACATGTTCCATAGGAAACCATGTTAAATGGACTGTAGTGCGTTTCTGCAAAAAGCACTAAAAAACGTATTGGTGTGAATGGAGCCTTAGCCAGGATATGCCCTCTGTCTACATCAGCCTTTCTCAACCCGGGTGCCCGGGCACCCTGGGGTGCCTTGAGGTTTCTTCAAGGGTGCCTTGGCAAAATGTCTAAAAATTGCCAAAACATTGTATACAAGCCAGTGGGTGGAACAAGCCTGCATTTTAGTTACACAAAGCCACAGGTTTTCATTGTGCACCATTACGACCTTCTAGCCGCTGGTATCCTGACAACCAATGACATCATCAGTTGCCAGGGAGGATGTCTGCTGCCTGCACAGCATCCTAGGTTTGACCCCCCCCCCGCCCCTCTCCATCAGTGCTGGGGTCACGTTAGCTCAGTGATAGAGAAAAGCCTGAGGGAGAAGAGAAACATTGGAATACTAGTCAGTACCAGTGTGCAAAAGTGTATTTGCTTTGGAAGAATAAATCACCTGTAATGTTGGGTGTCTTACGTGTGTTGATGTTGCTGTGTTATATAAAACTAGAATAGTTTTTCACATTTTAGAATGGACTGTCCATAATTTTAAAGGGTGTCTTGGGACCGTCTATAATTTTAAAGGGTGCCTCGGGACTGTCCATAATTTTAAACGGTGCCTCGGGACCGTCTATAATTTTAAAGGGTGCCTCGGGACTGTCCATAATTTTAAAGGGTGCCTCATGACTGTCCATAATTTTAAAGGGTGCTTCGGGACTGTCCATCATTTTAAAGGGTGCCTCGGGACTGTCCATAATTTTAAAGGGTGCCTCGGGACTGTCCATAATTTTAAAGGGTGCCTCGGGACCATCTATAATTTTAAAGGGTGCCTCGGGACTATGTCCATAATTTTAAAGGGTGCCTCGGGACTGTCCATAATTTTAAAGGGTGCTTCGGGACTGTCCATAATTTTAAAGGGTGCCTTGACTGAAAAAAGGTTGAGAAACACTGATCTACATTTATGTTGTAGTAAGTTACATGTTACCTTATCTGACTGATTTCCTTGTATAGAGTGTTTATAAGGAGCAACATTTTATTATGTATTTATATATCAGTCAGATCTTGTAATGGCAGCATAGGGTGGTTTATTACAGTTTTGTGCACTGATGTTGTTATGGAGGTAATGACTGGGGAGCAGGTCAAAGGGATGAGTTGACTACATATGGAGAGGAATTGGAGGTCAGGCAGCGCCTTCCTGGAAGGTATGGCTGAAAAGCAAAGAGAAGAGGTTAGCACTGGTTTTTATTTATTCCTTTATTACGGATATTTATATAGTGCCTTCCGTTTACACAGATCTTTACATACTGTACATTCACAATAATACCTGCCCTCAAAGAGCTTACAGTCTAAGGCGTATTGGCCTGCAAGAGATCTGGATCCACTACTGTTTCTTTGTATGAAGCCATTTCATATCTTCCACTTGCTTTACAGAGAATACTGTTGCAGAGTGCTCCTTACTATGCAGAAAAAATTGACCATAGGAAGTAATGTGATTAGACAGAGGACTTGGAGCTTTATATATTGTGCTGTCAGTGCATCCTTTGCGTTTAACCATTTGCACCAGAGGGTACACTCTGCCCCACTCCATGCTGAGAAATCTTTGCGATGCAGACCCAATTAAAAATTACTAAAGCGGCATAAAAGCTGAGAGTCTCGGCTGCAGCTACCCATGAAGTCCGCCCCGGGCTACATCTCAGCTAGCGGAGTGCACAGAAACAATTAGTCAGAACGGAGCCCGTCCCTGCCTAGTTAAACAAAGCAGAGTTAATGAACGCTGACCAATTAGTTACTAATTGACGAAGCTATAAACCTATTAGAAGCTGGTAAACGGGTAATCAATTCTAGGTAATTACCCTGAACCTGCTTAGCGGCAGGCAGGCACCGGGGAGGGAGAGCTGGCTGGCTGAGGAAGAGCTACATCTGACAGGCGAATAGGCAAGGGGGAACCCACATCACACACCCCTGATTATCTGTGTTATTTCCTCTGCTTGTTGGAGGATGTAAGAAATTCTTCAGCCAATGTAGAAAATGCAGGACATCTGTAAAGAATAGAATTTTGTTGGAAAATTTTCGATATCAAAACGTTTTTTCTATTTTCTAATGGTCACTGGGGTCAAATCGACAATGGCCAGCTTAAGACTTCTATGTAACATGACAGGTCGGTGATGAATACAATTTGTAATTCTTCAAGGCTAATGTATTACTAAACCCCAGACCCTGCATTCACTATATCTGGTCTCCCCAGACCCTGCACTCACTATATCTGGTCTCCCCAGACCATGCACTCACTATATCTGGTCTCCCCAGACCCTGCATTCACTATATCTGGTCTCCCCAGACCCTGCACTCACTATATCTGGTCTCCCCAGACCCTGCATTCACTATATCTGGTCTCCCCAGACCCTGCACTCACTATATCTGGTCTCCCCAGACCCTGCACTCACTATATCTGGTCTCCCCAGACCCTGCATTCACTATATCTGGTCTCCCAGGACCCTGCATTCACTATATCTGGTCTCCCCGGACCCCGCATTCACTATATCTGGTCTCCCCAGACCCTGCATTCACTATATCTGGTCTCCCCAGACCCTGCACTCACTATATCTGGTCTCCCCGGACCCTGCATTCACTATATCTGGTCTTCCCGGACCCCGCATTCACTATATCTGGTCTCCCCGGACCCTGCATTCACTATATCTGGTCTCCCCGGGCCCTGCATTCACTATATCTGGTCTCCCCGGACCCTGCATTCACTATATCTGGGCTCCCCAGACCCTGCATTCACTATATCTGATCTCCCCAGACCCTGCACTCACTATATCTGGTCTCTCCGGACCCTGCATTCACTATATCTGGGCTCCCCAGACCCTGCACTCACTATATCTGGTCTTCCCAGACCCTGCATTCACTATATCTGGTCTCCCCGGACCCTGCATTCACTATATCTGGTCTCTCCAGACCTTGCATTCACTATATCTGGTCTCCCCAGACCCTGCATTCACTATATCTGGTCTCCCACAGTATACAGAACATGTAAATGCAATTATTGTAGTAAATATAAACTGCTAAATACCTTTTCTCATCAGCAGTTAGAGCAGTCTTGTGGCTTATATCAGTGTCCAGCCCACCACTAGTTAAAGCTTGTAGGAGGAGTTTTCTTTCTGCTCTAGGAGGATGGAAATCCCCTGACCTCTGTCTGGACAGTGCTGATTGGCCCTGTGCTAATCACATGCACTCTCCCAAGAAAAAAAAAAATCTCTCTAGCAATACACACCAAACTGAGCATGTGCATAAGGGCTACAGGTTCAGTCTGTATCAGGTGGTCATTTCAACAAGAGGAGGGGCAAAGAAGAAAGGATCAAACATCCTTTTTACACAATGCAGAGGATTAACCCCTTAGGTTCCACAGTGAGTATAACAAGCATGCTTTACTGCATATACAGACTGATTTTACTGTTGTGGGTTTAGTAACACTTTTTCTTTTTTTTTTTTTCAATCAGCCAGGAGGCTGATAAAAAAAAAACAAAGGGATTCCTCCATCCACACAGCACGCTGATCGAGAAAAATGTTCCAACAGTCCCGTTGGACAGAAAGTCGATCATTAGATAAACTTCTGTCGAGCAGGAATGGCTTTAGATGGATAAAAACAAGGCCAGCCCCTGCTGAACAGGCTGAATTTTGATCCATCTACAGCCAGTCTAACTTCACTCAGAACTGTTTGATCAGTTTTGATTGGCTGCTCTGAGGCTCCAGTAGCAAGTTATGTTGAGTTGAATATGCAGTTCTACCAAACTGTCACAGCCAGTACTAAGCCAACTGATGGTGTCACACACCCTGATGATGCTTTAAAGTTCACCTTTGGGAACATGTTACATGTTTCACCCATTTTTAGGGTGAAATATGTAACATGTTTGCATTGCCGCAGCTGCCGCCCCCTCCTCCCTCTGACAGATAGTACAGGGAAACTTCTCCCGTAATATCTGTCAAATTTAAAAATAGTGCAGCCGTGCAGGACTCCCTGTCATTCATTCATGGACTTCCGTGAATGAATGAATGAACTGCAAGTCCCAACAGCCTTAGCAGCTGTCAACTTTTAGTTTTCAATGAACTGCCACGGCACTCCACAGCGCATTTCATTGAAGCTTCCTGTCAGTATATCTGCTTGTCTGTACATCCCGTACGGCAAGCAGATATTCTGACAGGTCTTCCAGGCTCCTGCAGACAAAAATAATAAAATGCACAATTTTTTACCTGCAAAAAAATGTGCATTTATTATTTTTGTCTAAAAGATGAAGTTATCTTTTAAAAACTGCAATGAACAAATAACTTTGAAATCCAGAGACATTACTATTATTATTATCACTAGCACCTTTAACCACACGCAACATCAGACCCCGACCGCTCCAGCCCTGGCAGACTGATCACACCAAAACCCTCAAATGACAAAGTCGTGCCCTGGAGCGACTATGGCGCAAAACCAAATCCCAACAAGCCTTCACCCGCTACAAATCTGCCTTCCACACCTACACCTCCTCCCTCCATGCTGCCAAACAGGCCTACTTCTTGACCCTCATCAAGGCCCTCTCCTCCAATCCTCGCCGACTCTTCTCTGCCTTCAACTCTCTACTCTCTCCACCCCCCCCTCCACCCAGCACATCACTCACTGCCCTTGAGATTGCCAGTCACTTCAAAAACAAGATTGACACAATTCGCAAGGACATTGCCGCAACTCACACACCCTCTCAGCCCTTCGTCGCTGCTCGCTGCTCGCTGCTCAGGACTTCGTCGCTGCTCAAACTCTCTCCAACCCCCTTCACCCTCACTCAGCTACCCCCTCATCACCCCTCTCCCATGGCCCCACCACTGCTCTGACCTCCTCTTCCACCCAACCTACATTCCTCATACTGAAGCTCCCCCCACACTCCGCACCTTTGACCTTACTACCATCGAGGAAGTCTCCAAGATCCTCTCTGATGCCCGCCTCACCACCTGCCCCCTCGACCCTATCCTCTCACAACTCCTACGACCTTCCTCCTCCTCCATCCTACGCTCCCTCACCCACATCTTCAATCTCTCCTTCTCCTCAGGCACTTTCCCCTCCCCTCTGAAACATGCACACATCACCCCCATACTTAAAAAGCCCTCCCTGGACCCCAATGACCCGAACAACCTCAGACCCATCTCCCTGCTCCCATTTACATCTAAACTTCTCGAGCGCCTACTCTACACCCGCCTATGCTCTCACCTCAACGACAACAACCTCCTCGATCCCCTACAGTCCGGCTTCCGTCCCCTACACTCCACCGAAACCGCCTTACTCAAACTCTCCAACGACCTGCTAACCGCCAAAGCTAATGGCCACTATTCAGTGCTCCTACTCCTTGACCTCTCTGCGGCCTTCGACACAGTCGACCAACCCCCCTCCTCCTCAAAAAACTACACTCCCTCGGCCTCAGAGACTCTGCTCTCTCCTGGCTCTCATCCTACCTGTCACAACGCTCCTTCAGCGTTACCTATAATGCTACCACCTCCCCCTCACTCCCCCTCTCTGTTGGGGTCCCTCAAGGCTCTGTCCTTGGGCCCCTTCTCTTCTCCATCTATACCTCCTCCCTTGGCCAACTCATACACTCTCACGGCTTCAACTACCACCTCTATGCCGACGACACACAAATCTATCTCTCAACCCCCACCTCACCCCCTTGGTCTCAGCCCGAATCACACACCTACTGAGCGACATATCAGACTGGATGTCGCTCCACTTTCTTAAACTGAACCTCTCCAAAACCGAGTTTCTTGTCTTCCCCCCAGCCCGGACACCACCCCCCATTGATTTCTCCGTCACATCCAACAACGCTACCATCAAACCCGCCCTGCAGGCCAGAGTACTGGGTGTCATTCTGGACTCCAACCTATCCTTCCAGCCCCAAGTCCAATCTTTAACAAACTCGTGCAGACTCCACCTCCGCAACATCGCCAAAATCCGCACGTTCCTAACCCCAGAAACCACTAAACAGCTCATCCA